GGCTGGGCAGGAACTCCCAGGAGTAGGAGCGCGGGCGGGGTCAATGGGGCCGAGCGTGGGCGGGCTTCCCAGGGGTGGGGCGTGGCCTCCTAGGTGGGGAGTGGGGAACCGGGTGGGCGTGGCCCTGGTGGGGCGTGGCCTCCGGGGACGGGCGTGGGCGGGGCCCTTGGGAGGGATCTCCAGGACGCGGGCGGCCCCGGGACACACACCTTGCAGCTGGACGGGTCCGGGCAGGGCAGCGGCCTCGGGGTGAGCACGTGGAGCCCGTTCTTGGCGTCGCAGCGGTACTCCGTGCAGTTGTCCACGAGGCTGCTGACCCAGGTCTCGTTGGGCTGCAGAAATGCGATGGGGAGGGTGGAGGCCCACCGGGGAATGAATTTATCTGGTGGGCTGGGAAGGGCTGAAGGGAAGTCTCCCCTGGCGGGGGGGCGGAGACCGAACCCCCTCTTACCTGGACCAGCCGGCCGTCCGGCGTGAGACACGCTGTCTGCACGCACTCCCCACAGCACTGTCCGTCCACCTTCTGGTACCGGAAGCCCTGAGGGACAGGGATGGTTATATCCTCACCCCCAGGCCCCCTCCCCAGCCCTCCTGAACCCCACCCATACCCTAAGGGCCCAGCGACCTCCTTAGCAACCTGCCCAGGGCTGCCACCAGGCAGGCACTACCGGCGTCTGCCCAGGAGGGTGTACCTGGGGGCAGGTGGTGCTGCAGCTGTCCTCCTCACACTGCACCGTTGGGTGCTGGGTGTCCACGGACAGGCAGGTGCATGTGTGGCAGGGAGTGACCGCTGGGAAGGTTGCACCGATCTGCAGTGGTTGGGGTGAGGGGAGGCAACATTGAGGGCACAGGCCTGGGGCCAAGACCCTTCCTTGCTGCTGGCTGGGCGGCAGGAAGGGAAGGCCTACAGAAAGTGGTTTCTTTGTTCTTCACATAGAATTCTGCATGTACCCCCTGGCTGAGCATAGACCGGGGCAGAGGCAGGGAAGGCAGGCAGGCTGGAGGGGGCTGGGAGGGCATGGTCCTACCCCAACCCTCTTGCTGTGAGGAGGCTCCGGGGAGACCCTGAACCTAAGCTCTCAGAGGCAGGCATTCAGCCCGTGGCCCTCCCAGGCCCTCGGCAGACAGTGCCGCGCCTGTGTCCCCCTCCTTCATGTCTCCACCAGGCTCTACAGGACCCAGAGCCCCGTGCTTATCTGCTCTCAAGCAGGAGGCTGCAGGCAGGGCTGGGCCTGTCCAGACGAGGGGTGGAGGTCCCCTAGCCGAGGTGCGGAGCCCAGGGCCCCACCCACTGCCCCCTGGCTCAGCAGAGCCCTTACCCCATAGGCGGTGCCATTGTAGGTGCACAGCTTAGGTCCTGGAAGGAAAGAGAGGGCTGAGCACCTGCCCAGGTGCTAGGGGGAAAGCGCTCACCCTCCGCCGCCCGAGCCCCACCCCAGAGAATCCCCAGCTCAGCTCACGGCAGCTGAAGGTGGGGCAGCAGTCGCCCTCCTCCTGGGTGGCCACCAGCTCCTCTCCCGGCACACATCTGGGTGGGCTCTGGGGGCAGGTGGTCGTGTTGCAGACTGTGGGAGAGTCGGGGCGCTGTCAGGGGCACCCCTGCAGCTCCCCTTTTCTGGCTGCGCCAGCTCACAGTCTAGGGGAGTTTCTTGCGACGGTCGTATTTTTTTCCTGGGGGTTGAATCTTCTGGGTTCCTGCTGGATCCCCTCGCTGTACCCAGCCACAACCAGAAGCCACCAGCCTCGTTTTAGGTAGAAAAATGAAGCACCAAGAGGCCCACCAACTGGCCCACCAACTGGCCCCCTCCTCGGCCCTCCTCACCCTGTGGCCAATGGGGGCACGGGGCTCACCGCACAGCGTCTCCAGGCAGCACGGCTTGTCAGCCACAGGCCTGGTCACAGTCACCAGGCCCGCCCGGCTGCACTGCGGGGGCCGGTCCCGGGCTTCGCACAGCACGGGCGTGCACCGCACCGACAGGGAGCCCTCGTGACACACGCAGTCCTGGCAGTTGCTGACCCACCGCTCCCCGGGCTGGAAGAGACCAGTCAGGGTCCCTGGAGACTCCCAGACGGTGCCCTGGCTCTTGGGCTGCAGCCCTCAGTGTGGTCATGCCAGGCTTTGGCCTCTCGCTCAAGCTGCTGTCTCTGCAGCAGCCCGGGTGACAGGGATGTGTCGCACACCAGGGCACCCCACGCCAGCCCCCCACAGGGCTTCCTCGGGCAGAGCAGGGTGCCCTGAGATGGGGCTTTCCGTCCCATTGCTCAGGCGAGGGGGCAGGTAGCTGGGGGGCAGAATACTCACAGATTTGGGAAACCCGTCTGGTCCCACACAGCCTGCAAGGGGAGAAGGGAGGGGAAGATCACTGGGGGTGCTGGGTTCCAGACCCAGTGGGCAGAGACCACAGGCCCTGGGACATGTCTTTGCGGGCCTGGCTGCCCCCACCCCCAGCAGAGGCCTCTTCTTCCCGCTGGGGACACAATTCCCTGGGGAACTCGGTGTCGCCGCCATACTGCGCCCTCTGTGGAGTGAGCACCCAGGAGGGACGGTCCTGGACTGGCGTCTTCCCACCCCAGAGCTCCCCCTGCAGCCCTGTAGCTCAGGTCAGGGCAGCCGAGGCGGGTGCTTACCGCACTCGCGCACGCAGACGTTTGTGTGCGTGTTGAAGAGGGTGTGTCCATCCGGGCAGAAGCAGCCTTCCGCCAGCCCCTTGCCCACCTCGCTCTGGCGCCTGCAAGGACAGGAGGGCATTCCTAGGACCCTCGATCCACATGAGTGCAGTCCTAGGGGTGAGGGCCGAGGGCAGGGCGGGCTGCTGGGGTTGGCCAGCTGCCCGGGGCCACTCGGGAGCGAAGGCTCAGAGATCGGGGTGGGGGAAGGGAGCCCCAGGCCCTTTGGTGCCCCCGGACCTCGCAGGCAGGCTTTACCTGGAGTCGCAGGACACGGGCTGTGCGGGGCCACACGGCTGGTACACCTTGCCGGACGGACAGGTGAAGTCTGGGGACAGAGACAGGTGTCAGGTGGGCCAAGGAGGCCAGAGCCCCCAGGGGCCGCCCCGACTCACTGCACAGCCCGCCGGTGGCGTCGCGCCAGCTGCTGCACACGCCCTGGGCACGGCAGAGTGCTGCGTAGGCCTCCAGGCTCTTGCAGGGCGCCTGGCGGTCGGCTTGGCAGCCATCACTGATGCAGGAGCTGAAGAACGGGCCCGGCGGGATGAGGCCGTGGCACTCTGCGAAGACCCTGTGGGCAGGGGCGGTCAGAGGCCAGGGCAGAGAGCAGGTCACTGTCCCAGGACCACCAAACCCAGAGGAGAGACTCACGGGCTCAGCAACAGCTCGCAGAGAGGTGCTGGGGGGCATGGGGAGGAGGTGGGCGTGGCGGGCACCGGGGGCTGG